TCCTCTTTTCCGAATTGCATGTACCTAAGTCCTAGGCCTATTCCCCCAAAATAAAAAGGCCTAAAACTAAAAGTCCCAGTTTTACTTTTAGCATGTTTAGTGGGACTAGGCATGCTAAGTTAGGCCAAGACTTAACATTGCTGCAAAGTGCAAGTGTGAACTTACCCTCCTTGACATTGACAGTATGCTACCCTCACATCAGCACTTTCCTTATGTAGGACAATCCAAAAGTTATATGTACTTTAGTTGAGGTACGTTTTTGTTTGGGTCTGACTTCTCCTCTAAACACACGTAGAGGACTTTCCTTGTCAACTTGATTAAACTCCAAATTCAGCACATTGCCGTCGGCAAATAAGCGATAATCCTCAAAGGATTTGTAGGCGCACATATTCCTTTGATCATACTCTGTTCTAAAACAAATTAAGTAGTTAAATACGTCGTACAGTATTTATCCAAATCAGGAATGTTGGAAAAGTCGCTGGTGAATCCCACGAGTTGAAACGGATCATTATTTAAACGACATTCGGTTACATGCAGTTTGCTTTCAAGTGTTCGCTGTGTATCTTCCTTCGTTAAATTCGGATCAGTTGTCAATTTCAACCTAGTCACACACTTACACATTTCCATCAGTTGTGTTTTCCGATAATCTGCTGTCGTAACTCCTCTTTCGCGAAGATATGATTGCAGTTTGGTAACAGTCCAACTTTCAAAGTTGAAGTCCATGCACTATACTCATTCTAATTCGCAATTTGGAGGATATTTCCAGTGTTTTCTGGCGAAGTGTCGTGATCTGGCAAAACGTTTTCCAGGCTATTTCGGATGGTTACGTGCGAGACACTCCAGGTACCAGAGAGACTTTCGCTAGCGACAGTGCCGGTTGCCAAGGCATGGCTTGCACCCCCCCACGTGACATGGCAACAGCAGATAGTCTGGTACCTAAGTAAAGCACACGAGAATACTATAGCGCGAAGACAGGACACCAGGTTTTATGATACACGTGCAAATGGCGTATTGTGTTCATGATGTGCATATCAACTCACCACATTTTACTCCTGCAACATTTTGATGTCGACAACGGACATCTTCGGGTCCAGTGTGCTGACATTCAAACACTGTTGTTTCATTACCCACACACTCAAGATCAGTCATGAGTATCTCCTGCCCATCGACTGGAACGGTGAATTCCGCTGCTTGAACTGCTTGCTCGAAACCAAATTGTCGACAGATGACTGATGCGTCAAGCAGGTCCCAGTCATCGAGGCAGATTGTTCCCCAAGCATTACCATTGTACACTTCCACACGTCCTTCGCTTGAACTCAAACCATCCACTAAACGCGCTAACCCCCCAAAAGAAAAGACACGTACAACACTTAAAATGTCTCATGAAAAGTACCTCAGTTATAGGATTGGTATTATCAGTCAATTTATTTCAGTAATGAAGATGTACGATGTGGATGGGTTCAATATTACGCTAGAATTTGATTCAAAATTACTTTCAGAGTACTTTCGGGGCTATACTGAAGTTAAATTTTAACAATTAATACAATCATTATAACAGACAGTTTTCAACGTTCAATTCTTATCGATCAAAAAGTAGTAGGCCTACCTGATTTACAATCAATGCCAATGTCTTGACCATGAGAACAATTATGAACTCCAATCCCAGCGTGCTGACAGCTATCCAAGCTCTCCTCCAGGCCAGTACATCTAACACTGCCAAGATGTATCGGTCCAGTTGCATTTCCGTACGGTTTTCTTTGAATTGCCCTGATGGCACCAGGGAAACCCATCTGCCAACAAGCCACCTGAGATTCATTGAGTCCCCAGGAGTTGCCACAAATGGTGCCCCATTCCCCATCAAAGAAGATTTCAAGTCGGCCTCTGTTATGAGTGTTCCCAGCGACTAAGCGAAGTTCGCCTGGGAAACCATCTTTGTAAAAGGAAGAAGCAAACACTCTCAAATTGCAGTCACAATGACTTGCTTCTAAATTTTGTTCATACTTTATCTGTCGATAGGTACTCGTATCCGCCCCAAGTTGAAGTGTACCCCCAAACGACAAAAGAAAGACAGATGGTTGTAAGTTTCCCAAGCCGCTCTTGCGCGTGTTCTGCGTTAGGCGTACTCAGCGTGCTCCGCAAACGCGACATTAATCTGCATTTTGAGTATAAAAAAAACCTGCCCTCTTTCGTTTACTCGGAGCGAATAGGAAACAAATATTGCCTTTTTTCCACAAAGCAATACACCCTTTTACCAATACAATTTGCATGCAAGTCACATCAAAATGTTTGTAACGACTTAATAAACTTTGTCAAATTGACTGTGAAAGTTCATCAAAAGTCGCGCTTGCTGGAGCATCTGTTGTAAACAATGAAAACCTGACAATTTGCGTTGAAAGGTTGCCACCTTTTCTTGCAACGTATTGCTGTTCAATTTTCCGATTTTATCATCATGTTGCTCTATCACTTTACTTTCACAGGGGTCCGTTTCCAGTGTATAAAATGCCGATTCGGACAATCATCAAAAAGAAACAATTCACTGATGTACTCACTTTCACACTGTACGCCAGCATCTTCAGAATGTAAACAGTTGTGAATCCTGTTGTGCCGACATTCAAATACCGTCTTTTCATCACCAACGCACTCAACATCATCCATCGTTATCTGGCCTTGGCCGTGTCCGAAGGTGGCCCGTGGAAAAGCCTGAAGTGCCT